CGCTCCAGCCGCAGCCGGCACCCCCCGGACGGGCAGGGGCGCGGGGGTCCCGCATTCATCGCTCCCGCTCCTCTCGTCCGAGCGGCGCCTTACTGTGGCCTCAGTAGGAGGGAGTCCCGGAGAGGGCGGGGGGGGATGGCGACAGCCAGGCGGGGGGCTCAGAGGCCTTTCTTGTCACCTGGCTGGGTCAGTACTTAGCACCCCTGGAAGGACAGTCGTGGGTGCACCTGCCAGTTAGTAACTGTGTTGCCTGCAGTCTCTGGATCTGTGTTTGCCCCTCGCCCGGAGTGTGAAGTGTACCCCCTCATGGCGGTGAGCAAGCTCCAGAAACTTACCTGCTAGTTCTGTGGCGCCAGGTGGGCGGCCCCGCAGGACTCAGGGGGCAGTGGTGTGTGATCCCAAGCAGCTGTTTTTTATAACCAACGCCACCCGTTTAGGAGGCGCTTTCCTACCGTAGAGTTCTAGCCAAGTGTTTGAAGGAGAAATAGGGGGAGCTGAGCATTCCCCGCTCCCTCCAACACACACAGTTTAGTCTCCAACCACCTTCACCGTCACCCCCTTCCCAAGATCCTGAGGGAGAACTGTGGCTAGGAAAATGAAGTACTTCCCTGTCAAAACCACAATATGTGTAATAGAGATCTTTCTTTCCAGTTTCTGCCTGGAGCCCAGGCCTGGTCCTAGATGCATTTGTGTTTCTTCTCTGAGTGCAAAAAAGGGAAAGACTTACTCGTGTTACATAAGGGCTGTAATGCTCCCTGGATATTTCGGTGCTGAGTGTTTCCAACTCCCAAAAAGTAGTAAGTGAAATCAGCCCCCCAAATGCTTCAAAACCATTTCACTTTTTCCCTTTGATTTCTCTGGTCTTAGCTACATGTGTGTAGTCTGTGCTTTTTGTACAAGCCCTGGGATTTCAGTTGTTTTCGTTCTGGAGAGGAGGATCCTTCCCAACTGACTGGTTCCAGATAGCATCCATGTGGGATGAACAGAGGAGATGGAGAAAGTGTGGTGGCTAGCAGGGCATCACGAGGTCTCTGACCTTAATCTTGTCATTGGTGCCACCTCCTGGACTGCTTCCAACACCGGCTGCTACCTGCTACCTACTCATTGAATTTTCTTCCCTCCATCAAGAACTAGATTGCTTAGTTGGCTTAGTAGCCGGATAGAAAGCTTAGGGCTCCTATGGCTTTGTGTCTTTTTCCTCTTTGCCTCCTTTGCACCTTAGAGGGAAGTGTGAAAGATTCCTTAAATGGAGACAGTCAGGTGTAAGCTGCTAGCATAGCCCCTGCAGGGTTATTCTCCATTTTTTTAGACCAAAAGAAATTCACTTAGTTACAGAGAAGGAGTTTCTGGGTATTGGTTCTATTGTGATTAGTCAAGGCATTTCCTCTTTGGTGACTGTAACAGTTTACTCTTTAGTGCATTTACTTAGACTGCTCCTGTAAAGTGTGTTTTGTGAGGTTCTGCTTCTGTTTGAGGCGTTCTTATTATAATTTCTCTTCTCCAATGAATTGGAGAGACACCCCCCCCCCCCACCAGGCAGCTGGTGTGTTCTTTGGCAGAGAAAAATCTCATGCGTTAGGGCTGTACTTCTGGGAATTCTTTAGGAGGTGAATTTAGCTTCTGTATCTTGAGATAAGAAGAGTTTGTCTTGACGATCCCATACTAGGCTATTCCCTTCTAAGGCTGAGGGACACCTTAGCCTTGAGTAGTACTGAAAGAGAGCAGGTTCCAGGGGTAAAGTAGTGTAAACCGAGATCTCTTTGGGAGATAAAGGAATTAGAGGAGTTTCCTGAGACTCTGTGCCAAATCTAGAAAAGGACGGGACAGAATGTTTATGATGCATGTGCATTGAGGACTCTAGAACTTTTGCTTCCCCTTTATGCTCTTGGAACAGTTTCCATAACTAATGTAATTGCTTTGGGCCCCAGATTCTATCTAAGCAAAACTCCCATTTTCACTGCCAAAAGCAAAGCAGGCAAACCATCCTGACTCACCCACCTTCGTAGATTTGCCTTTGGTGGCTCTCCAAGTTGTCCTTAAGGGAACACTGATTTTCTCATCTTGGGTGAACCATAACCAGTAACTGAATCCCATGGGTGGAGGCTGTCAACTCGCTCTTAATTTTCTTAATGCTATCATTATTTTTTAGACATGGGGATCTCTCGCTGTTGCCTAGGCTGGAGTACAGTGGCACAATCAGCTCACTGCAGCCTCGACCTCCAGGGCCCAAGGGATCTCCCCACCTCAGCCTCTTGAATAGCTAGGACTATAGGCATGCACCACCACATCTGGCTAATTTTTAAAAATTTTTATGGAGATGGAGTCTTACTATGTTGCCCAGGTGGTCTCGAACTCTTGGTCTCAAGTGATCCTCCCTCCTTGGCTTCACAAAGCACTGAGATTACAGGTGTGAGCCACTGAGCCCCACCTGTTCCTTTTTTTTTTTTTTTTTTTTTTAGTTGAAGTCTCACTCTGTCGCCCAGGCTGAAGGGCAGTGGCATGCTCATGGCCACTGCAGCCTCGACCTGCTGGGCTCGGGCAAACCCTTCTACCCGAGCCTTCCAAGTAGCTGGAACCACAGGTGTGTGTCACCATGCTCAGCTAGTTTTTTGATTTATTGTAGAGACGAGGTCTCACCATGTTGCCAGGCTGGTCTCGAACCTGTGAGCTCAGGCAATCCTCTCTCCTCTTCCTCCCAAAGTGCTGGGATTGCAGGCATGAACCTCCACACCGGGCCTGCTTGTTCCTTTGATATTCAAGCTTTGTAGTTCAATCCACAAGCTAGCCCTGAAGGTTTAGTTTTTTTTTATACATTTCTCCTATCCTCGGTTGGGTTCCTCAAACTTGCTTCATGTGAAAGGCTTCTGATAGTCAGGGAAGTACCATTTAGACCAAGGCTGGCACATTTGTCCCTGTAGCCTTGTGGCAGAGGACATGTTTGAGTTTGGATCAGGGGATATTCCCAAACAAGATCTGTGTCTGTCTGTCTGTCTGTCTGTCTCTCTCTTTCTGAGTCAGGGTCTCATTCTGTTGAACAAGCTGGAGTGCAGTGGCACGATCATGGCTCATTGCAGACTTGACCTCCTGGATTCGGGTGATCCTCTCACCTCAGCCTCCTGAGTAGCTGGGATTACAGGCGCCACCACCATGCCCAGCTAATTTTTTTATTTTTTTTTTCTGTAGAGACAAGGTCTTGCTATGTTGCTTAGGTTGGTCTTGAACTCCTGGGCTCAAGCAATTCTCTCACCTCAGCCTCCCAAAATGCTGGGATTACAGGCATGAGCCACTGCACCTAATCCCAAACAAGATCTCTTGATGCCATCGTGGAAGTCCCTGAACCCTGTCTAAGTATTGTTACGGGATCTGTGTCTTTACAGCTTGCCTTTATGCTGTGTCTCCCTCCTTGGAACTGCCAAGAAGCTAGAATCCCGTCATATTTGTATATAACCTAATCACATTTGCTTTGGTGATTTGGGGTGGGAATGCATGTGAGTTCTTTTTTTTTAAGAGATGAGTTCTCACTGTGTTGCTCAGGCTGACCTCGAACTCCTGGGCTCAAGCGCTCCTCCTGCCTCAGCCTCCCGAGTAACTGGGACTACAGATGCGCACCACTGCACCCTTCTCCTTTCTCATCTTGGTCCCTCTGTGGACTCGCCCACTTGTCCCCACAGGTCTGCCCCAGCCCAGCCACCCGCTGAAGGGACAGAAGGGGCTGCCCCCGGTGGAGGCCCCCCCGGCCCTCCTCCCAACGTGACCAGCAACAGGCGACTGCAGCAAACCCAGGCGCAGGTGGAGGAGGTAGGTGGGGAGCTCTTTCTCCGAGAAGAGCCCGGTCGTAGGCGTGTAGAAGTAGGAGGGATGCCTTTCTGTTCTCCTCTTGTTTCAGTTCATTTTATTTTTTTATTTTTTATTTTTTTTGAGTTGGAGTCTCACTCTGTCGCCCAGACTGGAGGGCAGCAGCCGCTCCCGGCCCCCGCAGCCTCGACCTGCTGGGCTCCGGCGATCCTTCCGCCTCAGCCTTCCCAGTAGCTGGAATTACAGGCGTGCGCTACCACGCCCGGCTGATTTTTGATTTATTGTAGAGATGAGGTCTCGCCAAGTTGCCCAGGCGGGTCTCGAACCCGCGGGCTCAGGCAATCCACTCACCTCAGCCTCCCTAGGTGTGGGATTACAGGCTGAGCCACCGAGCCCGGCTTCCTCTTTTTTTTAAAAGTAGGAGTCTTACTCTGTTACCCAGCTGGAGTGCAGTGGCACATCACAGCCACCACAGCCTTGGTCTACTAGGCTTAGGTAATCCTTTCCCTTTAGCCTTCCAAGTAGCTGGAACCATAGGTGTATGCCACCACGTCCGGCTGATTTTTTTTTATTTGTTATAGAGACGAGGTCTTGCCAAGTTGCCCAGACTGATCTCAAACTGCTGGGATTACTTACAGGCATGAGCCACCACGCCTGGCTCTGTTCTCCTCTCTTTTATAGGGCAGTAGTGGAAGGTTCAGGGATGCAAAGCAGCACTTAGGGCTATAAGACCCAGCCAAGGGATTTCCAGGTGGCTGCTCTTTCCTGTCTTTGGCGGGGAGCTTAGCAGCTTTGTTTCTGTGCCTCCTCAGGTGGTGGACATCATGCGTGTGAATGTGGACAAGGTCCTGGAGAGGGACCAGAAGCTGTCAGAGCTGGATGACCGAGCTGATGCCTTGCAGGCGGGAGCGTCACAATTTGAGAGCAGTGCTGCCAAGCTAAAGAGAAAGTATTGGTGGAAAAACTGCAAGGTGAATTTTCTTGTCCCCTCCTCCTCCTTTTGCTGGGCTTGCACTCGGAGAAGGCGAGAAAACCCTCAGCGTCTTCAATTCTTTCTTGCACCGAGCTTGGGAGGAAATCTGGAAAGCCACATTACCTGAGTTGGCCACCAGGGTAGACTAGAGTATTCGGAACCACTGATGGGAAGGCGACACCCTGAGGAGTTTAGAGCAGTTAGTTGAGGAGCTTTTCCCCGAAGGAATGGCCTGCAAGAATTCTTGCCTGTGCCTTTCTCAGACACGCTCAACATCAGTGCAGTGGCTCAGGTATAGACATCGAAATACCTGCCACTTTTGGAAATGAGCTGAGCGCCTCACAGTGAAAGCTGGACCAGCTGAGTCAACATCCAAATCTGTGTCTCTGTTGGAATTTCTTTTTTTCTTTTTTCTTTTTTTTGAGTTGGAGTCTCACTCCGTCGTCCAGGCTGGAGGGCAGCGGCACGCTCACGGCCACCCCAGCGTCAACCTGCTGGGCTTCGGCGATCCTTCCGCATCAGCCTTCCAAGCAGCTGGAACCATAGACATACTACCACGCCCAGCTAATTTTTGACTTATTATAGAGACGAGGTCTCGCAAAGTTGCCCGGCTGTTCTTGAACCTCCCAAAGTGCTGGGATTACAGACCTGAGCTACCGCGCCTAGCCTCAGCTCTTTTTTTTTTTGATTCGGAGTCTCACTCCATTGCCCAGTCTGGAGTGCAGTGGCACACTCGCTCATGGCCACCCCAGTGTCAACCTGTTGGGCTCCGGCGATGATCCTTCCACCTCAGCCTTCCAAGTAGCCAGAACTACAGGCACGCTACCACGCCCAGCTAATTTTTTACTTATTGTAGAGACAAAGTCTCACCAAGTTGCCTGGGCTGGCCTCAAACCCGCGGGCTCAGGCAGTCCACTCGCCTTGGCCTCCCCAAGTGCTGGGGTGACAGGCTGAGCCACTGAGCCCAGCCTGGAATTTCTTTTAAAGGCCCAAGGCCACAGGAGCTAAGCATAAAGGAGCCGGCGGCAGCTCCTGCCCTGTGTCCGAGAAGCTGCAGACTGGTCCTGGGGTCATGATCCCATGGGAAGCAGGAGGGCGGGGCCTCCCAGAGGTCTGCCGTTCTCTGGTGGGGGGTGGCTTCTTCCGCCGTCCCAAGGGTGGAGGAGGGGCTGCTCCCGCTGGAGATGGCGCTGCCCCTGAAGTCCAAGGGCTCTTCTGTTGTCCTGTTTCCTCAGATGATGATCATGCTGGGAGCCATCTGCGCCATCATCGTGGTAGTCATTGTAAGTAAGTATCGCTGAGGCGGCTGGTGGGGTGCAGAGGTGGGACGGTCCCGGAGTCTCCTCCCAGCCTTGCCTGCCCGCCTGCCTGCCTGCCTGGGGAGTGGGGCTGCTCTGACCGAGGTATGGAGACCGCTGCTGTGGGGCCGTCCCCCGGTTGGGGCGGGCGGAGGGGCAGACGAGGCACTTCCTGGAGGGACAGACCCTCCCCTGAGTGCCGTGGCGGGGACGTGGCCCTCCTGGTCTGAGGAAGGGGGCTGTGCTGCCTGTCACTGGCTTGGGTCAGAGGGCGACCGTGGGGATGGAGCACTTGCAACGCAAGGACCCGAGTGTCTTGTGACGTGATGTAACTTGCCCTCTTGTTTTCTCCTGTCTCTTTCTCTTTTCCGTCTGGGACTTCCTGATTCCTGTGTCCAGTCTACTTTTTTACTTGAGAATGTGCCACCCCTCCCGTCCTCCATTGCCCCAAGCTCATGTCCTTCTCCCTCGGTTTGCTGCCTCCACGAATGCCCCGTCTGCCTCTCTCCATCCTGCCCAGGCTCCTCCGTCATCCATGCCTCCTTTTGGTTGCACTCATTTGCACTATGTCCCTCCACACTAGAAATGCTGCTCGTGGCACAGTCTTGAAGTCACTACCTGAAGAGCAACAACTGGCACCTCCTCCCTGTCCCCTTCATATGTCCTCTCAAGTTCCCCCAAAGCGTGACAGTTTGGAGGCCAAGGGAAGGGCAGGGGAGTGGCTGGAGTGAAGTGCCCCAGGAGCTGCCCAGACTCGGGGAGGAGACGGGCATCCATGCCCACAGTGTCTCCGAGAAAGGTTTGGCTGCTGGCCGGAGGCCGCGAACAGCCAGGAGAGTGGCAGCTCACTCAGTGCCCGCCTGGTCACTGGGAGTGCTTCTCCTGGACCAGGCCCGAGAGGGTCCTGGGGATGAACAAAGTCCAGAGTCGGGGTGCAGCACCCTTCTAGAAAGTAAAGCCTATTTTTGGCAGTTATTGCTAATCTGTTAGCCCAAGGTTTTCTATGTCTTTGGGGATCTTACAACTTTTTACCTTGTTCTCCAGACAGACGGTATTTGGGGAGTCGGTGCTTTTGATTGGGAAAACATGGGTGCTCTCATTTCTACCCAAGAAGCAGTCCCTGTGCTGCTAGAGAAGGAGCTGTCTTCTCTTCACACCTTCCGCATGGTGGTGAGGGTGCCAGACGTTTCCTCTACCCGTTAGTTTTATGAGGCCGAGTCATTTCACGTAGCTCTCAGGTACGGTTGCGTAGGTCACGGGAGAGAGTGCCTGTCAGTGACGGGGCAAGGGCGGCAGCGAGTCAAGGGCCTGATTGGAAATCAGCTTGGAGGAAGCCACGTCTGGCTCTCATTCAGGAGGGTCCTGTGCTCCCGCCCCGTTGAGACGAACGTGAGGCCTGGCAGAGACCCACCGACTCCATCCTGGGGGAGGCACGCCAGTCTGTGATGGGTGTGCTCGTGTGCTGTGCTCTCCCGGGCCCTTTCGTCCAGAGCCACCTCTCTGTTCCTGCAGTCTGTTCCCCTTGGAACTGCCTTTGCCCTCTGAGTTCTGCGTTGCTTCCTTTCTCCAGCCCGCCATCCCTTGCATGGTTTTTGCGTGCAGGCAGTGGCACCTGAGAGTAGGCGCCTCTCACCCGTTGGGGGGTGTTGCTGAGCACCAGGACAGCATGTGACGTGGGCGAGCCCTGGTGCCAAGGGAGGAGGGCAGGTGGGACCAAAGGGGTGGGCCACAGCCCTCGACTCCTCCCGTCCTCCGGCCGCAAGCAGGAAGCGGCAGAGGCGGGCAGGGCCGCCCCCTTCCACGAGCAGCATCTCGTCATGCAAAACCATGCTCCCTGCCCTTGCCCATGCCCTGGCTTTCCGCGTTCCCTTCGTCCTGCCCCAGGGCAGGACTGAAGCGCTGGAAGAAAGCAGTCAGTGTGCCCTCCCAACAGTCCCCCGAAGGTCTCCACTCTCCTCTGGGCTCCTCCTTGCCTAATGCAGGGGGCCACCGCTGGAGAAGAACCGCCAGTGTCCTCGATGTGTCCCAAGCCTGGAGCAGATCTGCCCTCTTGGCCTGCCCAGCCCTGTCAGGGGAACTAGTTCCGGGGTTTCTGTCCCGCTGAGGCTTGCCAGACGTAGGTGGCTTTGTTCTTTGGGGGTGTCATCCCTTCGCCCTTCTTGCTGCCCCACCCTGTGCCCTCTTCTGTGTCTTTGCTGTCCCCCCGCTGCCCGTGTGCATGAGCAGATACGCAGCTAGACCCGGGACGCTGCAGTCAAACAAAGCTGAGCTCCCCACATCCCCTCCTCGGTTTCCCATGAGATGATGTGGGGTTTCCACTGTGTGTCAGTCATCACCTCTTTGTCTTTTTTTCCTCACCCCAATCTCATACTTGTCTAGAGTAATAACAACGGTTGTACTTCCACCAAAGGCATGTGGCATATCTACCAGTTTCATGTATTCTCCACAAAGGCAAAAAATAAAAATTCCTACCACTGAACTGACTTGGTTGTTGTTTGGGTTGGAGAAACTGAGGAGGGGGAGGAGGAGACTGTTCTTTCTTCCTGTCGCCTGCTGTCGCTTTGGGCTGGCAGGGCTGGCTCACGTGTGCTGTGTGGAGCCTGGCGTTCTGTGTTGGCAGAGGAAGTGGTCTCCCAGTGTTTACGCCTGAAGCAGCCCGACTCGCAGGTGCTAGTGAGAGGAAATGACGACGGGAAGTCGAGTGGGTATCTCACACCGGCAGGCACCCACTGGCGGGTTCCTTGGGCCTCTCCGTCTGGCCCCTTCCTAGGTCTTTGGGAGCCTGTCCCGTCCCAAGGGATGTGCCCAGGTGAGGCCTCCAGCAAACACCTCCTTTTCCCTACCATCCTCACGTACAGTTTTCTCATGCTGAGTTCCACCATGACCAGTACTGACCAGGCACACTTTAGAAATGAATAAAAGGGGAAATCTCTCCCCAGCAGTCACGGAAGTGAGGGGTCTTAAGTGTCCTGAAATTCCCAGCAGTTGTTCAAAGGAGCTGCACCTTCGCGGCAGCTCAGAGCCATACAGAGCAACTGAGAGGAGTCCAGGTGCCTCTAAGAGCTTTTGTTTCACACCTTAAACCCTTTGCAAGTTCCAGCAGCTGGGCTTGGGGACCGGCGTGAAGAACAGGAACTGGGAGAAGCTTGGTCCCAGTGGACACAAGGGGCTTTTATTTTGATAAGAGCTCAGTGTTTGTGAGTATTGACCCGACCCCTACCCTTGGCCCCTACTTGGTTTCTTTTGGTTTTCTTTTCTCTGGCTTTTTGCTCTTTGCCTCCAGCAGGACGTCCTGCTGCCTTCTGCCCGTCACCTCTTCCTGTCCTTCGGTGCGTTAGCCCAGGGTGCCCAGCAAAGGAAGACAGCGGTCAGTGCAGAGCCTGGGCCTGCCTTCCTTAGCTCTGCAACTCTTAGAGGCCCTCTGGGCGCACGTGATTACTCTTCTTTTATTCTGAGGCAGGGGGGTGGCTACCCAGAATGCCTCGGAGTCTTGGCAGACCTTGATGAGGGAGCTAGGGGAACATAAGAGGGAACAAGACTGGTTTCATCTGGGGTAACCCCAAAAGCAGGAGGCCGCGGTGGGTGGGCCTGTGGAGTGTGGGACGTCTAGGCTTCCACCCTGGCCTGGGAGGGGAGGTGGCTACAGTGAGTGGATCTGCAAGCGAGGTGGGCCAGGGCGGAGCTGCAGGGGACAGCCAGGCTCTTACCTTGCCATCTCTGAAACCCCAGCAACAGCAGCGTGAGAAGGAACAGGCTGCTGGCAAGGATGACCCCCAAGGCTGTCCGTTCTGTGGGCGAGAGCAGTGCGGCAGAAGTCACTGTGGGTTGCACCCTGGCCACCAGTGTCCCTCCAGGGAGGGGAGCAGAGACGTGTGTGTGTGTGTAGCCAGGAGCCGGACATGGCAGCATTTGTATGTGGTCAAGGTTGCCAGGGATCCGTGGGTTACCCCACACGGAATTCTCCACCTCCTCCCACCCGAGAGCAACTTCACAGCCACTTTGCGAGAGAGGTTTAGGAGGGACGAGCATGGGCCATGGAACTGGGTGGGACTAATGGGAGCCAAGACAGCCGCTCGCCTTGGGAAGCCCCCCCAGGGAGCGAGCACATCATCCCGCTGCTCCCGAGGGGCGGCGGGGGGCCGGGTTCTCGAAAGCCTTCCTGTGACGCCCTGTGGCTTTCGAAGCTCCGCTCAAAGCTCCATCAGGATCTGCAGGGCTGGAGCCTGTGCAGCGGTGGGGCTGCCCGTTGCTCCCTTTCTGCCGTTACTGTTGAGGGGTGGGTGACCTTGGGCAGGGGCCGGGCACGGCAAGTGCCGGTTGCTCATTGGCAAACGGGAGTCGTGCGTGAGATCACACGCTTCGGTGCTGCGCCCCGTGTGACTCACGCCAGAACCCAATGAATTCAGGGGCCTTGGGCGCTCCGGAGCCTTGTCCCCTCCTCCCGTGACCCTTCGGCTCTGGCTGTGCCCAGTGACTCATTCCCCAGATTCTCGCCAGGCTGCTGTGTTTGGACTTCACAGGTGCTGTGCTTTCCATCCTGAGTGTCCCCCTCCCTCTATGCCGGTTTGGCTCCGGTGTCTCCTCCAGGTCGCCTTCCTGCTTCTCTAGTCTCCTCTTGGTGACTGGTCTGAGCTGCGGAGGGCAGGATCAGGAATTGCTCCCGCTTGATCTCTAAGCACATGGCCTGGCTCCCTGGGGTGTGATGGAGACTGGGGTATGATGGCCTCTCGGGAGTTGTGTGGTGGAAGCTGTGGCAGCGGCCACCTTGGGAGAGGCAAGGTCAGGAGCAGGCAAGAGTGTGAAGCTAGGGTGCAGAGCAAAGCAGAGCAAAGCCCGTGGGCAGCAGAACAAGGCTGGAAGCCCAAGCACAGGGGTGGGGAAGGACACGCTCAGTACCTGGTGGGCCAACCCATGTGCTGGCCCCAAGGGGCTCCTCCAGGGAGATGTGAGTGACCTGGCAGGTGTAAGCTGCGCCTGCAGAGCCAGGTTCGGCTACCAGAGAGGAGGTGGTGCTGTAGGTGCCCGCCGCGCTTTGCCTGAGGCTGGAGAAGGAGGCACCAGAGACTTGGACCGGGGACCCGCCCAGTTCCTGGCGTGTCCACGTCACCGTCACGTCCAGAGGATAATAGCCAGCGACGTTGCAGGTGAGGGTGGGGGGCAGGGCTCCGCTTGCCAAGCTCAGCCGTACTTTGGGCGGTGCTAGAGAAAGGACGGGAGTGAGAGTGTGGACAGGCCGACTGGGCGCAGCCGAGGAGCCCAGAGCCTCCTGCCAAGGGCAGGTCCTGGAGCCTACGGCTTCCTCCTCCGTGGCGGGTGAGGGTGGGTGTGGGGGGCCCACCCGGACGCAGGCCACACGGAAGGGCGGGTATTGTCTAGCGCAGTGACGGCACAGCCGGCGAGAGGCTGGCTGGCCTCTGACCCGCACACGTACGGAGGGTCCGTGATGAGCTCCTCCTGGCCAGAACCCCTCCTTGGCTTGCTGCAGCTCCTCCTTAGGATGTGGCCGAAGGGCCCGGGGGCCCAGGGGCACTGGCTCATGGCTGCCATCCCAGCACATCGGGAGGCCAAGGCGGGAAGGTCGCTTGGGGCCAGGCGTTCGAGACCAGCCTTGGCAGCATTACGAGACCCCATGTCCACCAAAAGAAAATTAGCCAGGTGTGGTGGCATGCACCTGTAATCTGAGTTACAGGTGAGCCATGATCATATCACTACATTCCAGCCGGGGTGACGGTGAGATCCTGACTCTAAGATTTTATTTTATTTATTGTATTTATTTTTTGAGTTGGAGTCTCACTCTGTCGCCCAGACTGGAGTGCAGTGGCTGCTCCCGGCCACTGCAGCCTCAACCTGCTGGGCTCCGGCGATCCTTCCGCCTCAGTCTTCCAAGGAGCCGGAATTACAGGCGTGCGCTACCACACCTGGCTGCTTTTTTGATTTTATTGTAGAGATGAGGTCTCGCTGCCCGGGCGGGTCTCGTACCCGCAGGAACAGGCAATCCACTCACCTCAGCCTCCCAAAGGTGCAGGATTACAGGCTGAGCCACCGAGCCCGGCTAAATTTTAAAAAAAGGACTGGGGCGACTGGAGATAGCCAGCCAGGGCAGGGCAGCAGGGTCCTGGGCTGGAAATTTCCTGAGGGAACTATCTGATGCCAACTATACTTCTAGGGTGAAGACGGCATTTGGGTGGTGGGAGTGCCGTCTGCCTCTCAGGAAATCACCGTTGTAATCAGATCTCAATCTGGAAAACACTCCCAGTAGGCATGTCCCTCCCTCTGCAGGATGGCCCAGCCCTGGCCTCACCTTGGACGTTGAGCTGGACGATTTGCTGTGCCCGGAAGAGAGCGGTGGCGATCTGGCAGACGTAGGTCCCCTCGTCCTTGACAGTGAGGCTGGGCAGGCTGAGGGAGGCGTCCCCCGCCGCATGCAGCTGCTCGGGCTCCAGGGCCGCGCCCCCCCGCCCGGCCTGTCCCCGCCCCGCGGCCCAGCTGTGCACCAGCTGGCCACTGCCCTCATGCTGCTGC